TGATTTGATTCATGTAAAGGAAGATGACATTTTGGAGTTCATACGACCTATCCAATCAGAAAACTTCTTGGTGCCTGGCAAAATCATGTGGCATGACCCAGATCGGGCGTAATGACGTCCTCACGCCGGATCTGGGTCAGCGCCGCCACATGCTCGCGTCATGGTACTGTCGTGAACACACGTTCACAAGTGACACTGTAGAGACGAAAATGTGGAATAAATTTATTATTTTTGTTTCCTTTGCGCAAAAAAGTATTTTTGTTGCTTTGTAACTATACAGTTGAACCACTGATGTCACACGGACTACTTTGTCGATCATCTTGGAACTTTTCTGGACCTTGAACGTGGTAGTTACCTTGCTGTCTATGGGAGGGTCAGAGATTCCTCATATTTCATCAAAAATATCTTAAATTGTGTTCCGAAGATGAACGAAGGTCTTACGGGTTTCGAACAACACGAGGGTGAGTAATTAATGCCAGAATTTTCAGTTTTGGGTGAACTAACCCTTTAACTAACTTTAGCATTACCTCAATTTTACCAATGAAGCTGTTCCTTTAAATAGGAAAGAGCTCATTGCTACAAATGGAAATATACATTACGGTATTTCTTTGTTAAAGATGAACCCTAAGTGTTTGTTTGGCTAAAAGAAAATTAAGTAATGAACGATGTGAGAGGACTTTCCTGCACAAACTTTATACTGTAGCTCTTTAAACAGTTACATTGAACTATTTATAAACAACTAAATAACATCACAGAAAAAGACACAGTAGGTTTTTCAAATGTTTTATTAATGTCTTTTTTTTTTCATTTTCAGGTCAATCTCTAAGCAACCAGCGGTGGATGTTGAGCGTGGAAGAAACCCGTAAGACCTTCGTTCATCTTTGGAACACAATTTAAGATATTTTTGATGAAATATGAGGGCTGTGAGGCAGTGTGTGGCATGACCCAGATCTGGCGTAATGACGTCCTCACGCCGGATCTGGGTCAGCGCCGCCACATGCTCGCGTCATGGTACTGTCGTGAACACACGTTCACAAGTGACACTGTAGAGACGAAAATGTGGAATAAATTTATTATTTTTGTTTCCTTTGCGCAAAAAAGTATTTTTGTTGCTTTGTAACTATACAGTTGAACCACTGATGTCACACGGACTACTTTGTCGATCATCTTGGAACTTTTCTGGACCTTGAACGTGGTAGTTACCTTGCTGTCTATGGGAGGGTCAGAGATTCCTCATATTTCATCAAAAATATCTTAAATTGTGTTCCGAAGATGAACGAAGGTCTTACGGGTTTCGAACAACACGAGGGTGAGTAAATAATGCCAGAATTTTCATTTTTGGGTGAACTAACCCTTTAACTAACTTTAGCATTACCTCCATTTTACCAATGAAGCTGTTCCTTTAAATAGGAAAGAGCTCATTGCTACAAATGGAAATATACATTACGGTATTTCTTTGTTAAAGATGAACCCTAAGTGTTTGTTTGGCTAAAAGAAAATTAAGTAATGAACGATGTGAGAGGACTTTCCTGCACAAACTTTATACTGTAGCTCTTTAAACAGTTACATTGAACTATTTATAAACAACTAAATAACATCACAGAAAAAGACACAGTAGGTTTTTCAAATGTTTTATTAATGTCTTTTTTTTTTCATTTTCAGGTCAATCTCTAAGCAACCAGCGGTGGATGTTGAGCGTGGAAGGGCAGGTTGTGTGTGAAGGAGAGCAGCCCAACATTGTATCTGGTCTTGCAGCACTGTTTGCCTCATTCTACAATTTTAACCTCCAGTATCAGGAAGAGGCAGCATGCACCCTTGAGTTTGTTCAGAGGTTAGACACTTACGCATTTGCCACTCATATACACCAAAACCATTTTCAGAGGTTTACACCCACCTGACTTTATATGAATCGTGTTGCTTTCATGGGCATCACTGAATGTTTCTATCTATTGTAATAGTTGTGTATGAGTCTCTTGATTGTCCTCAATGTAAACAGATACAAAATACAGTTACTGCTGGACATGAGTCAAATATCCAGAAATGTTGAAAAAGCAAAGATTCAGGAGGACCTGGATGATTTGTCTGAAGATCAGTGGACAGTTTAATGACTCAGGACAAACAAGAAACCCTTAAACAACTATGACAAAACATAAAAACTGTCATTGATTGTTCAGGTAACATCATACAGTATTAAGAATCGGGGGTGTAAACTTTTGACCTGCGCTATTTTTAGAAATTCTGTTATTATTATTTGGTGTGAACTTTATTAACATTTCTTCCGTGAAATAACTTGCTCAGGGCAGGACTAAATAAAAAATAAACCTTAATTTTCAAAATTCCTCTTATTTTTCCCAAATTTTCAGCTTTTTCCAGATTCTGCAAGGGGGGGGGGGGGTAAACTTTTGAGCTGCACTGTATGTTAAAATTAATGTAGTCACTAACTTTTTCTTTAGAGTATTCAGAAATAACAGTATTCATTCACAAAGGTTTAATACAGTTTATTGATCACATATCACATATTTAACATTATCATAGTCCTGTGTGCAATAAACACATTGCAGGGGTTGCAATTCACTTACATAAAGTTACTAAGGTTTGAATGAAATCCCCACAATGCCTTTTTGTAAAAAGCAGAATATGCTCTACATAAGCTGGGTGTCTCTGAGGATGACAATATCATTAAAAAACTGGGTGATGGGTGATGAGTACACAACTGGGTGATGAGTACATAAAACATTTCACATGTAATCTAACGCAAAAGATTTAGGACACATTTAGTTGTGATCTAGTTGTTGTGATCCAGTGCACAATACAGATCAGATTTCCCCACAAAATCTGATTTGGGCATGAACAGCTGGAAGTGTAGAAAGCATCTCTGTCTGATATTTTGATATACTATACTTTTATGCTGCTTTCATTTTTGAGACTGCTTTATGTGGGTTGCAACCCTAACATCCAGATTTCCATTTTGAACAGAAAGCGAGAGCGGAGCTTTTTCATTGGAAAACGCTCACAGTGCACGCAGATTGCCCCCTCGAGGACATTGCGTGCATGCTCTTCACCCAAAAAAACAATGCATAGATCGTGTGTGTCATCGGATGTCAAATAGCGATGACACGGATGCACACATCTTCTAAATGTTTTGCTAGTGCTCGCCATAATGAATGAGTCTGTGTTGGCTTAATATATTTTGCAGCTTCTACAGTTAAAGATCAAACTTAAAGCCTCTTTTTGACATGTCCTTTTTAAAGCAAAGTTTAGAAAATCAGAGATTTTAAATTAAATCTAAAAATATTTAAATGTATTTAATGCATTATTATTTATTTATAGCATTAAAAATTATTTCATTTGTAGTTAACTAGTTAAAAAAGTAAAATAGTTAACCCTACTAGGCAGTTGGTGTCTGGCCTTATGTTATTTATTTATTTATTTATTAAATGACATGAGACTTTGAGATTTCTTACACTTGCTAAACTTTATACTTCAGTGCAGTAAAGTAGTAAAATTTGTTTTAATAGTTGTCATTTTATAATACATCCAAAAGCAAAACGTGATGAGAACTAGGTAGTCTTTGTCAGCTTTCTCGCCCTTGATGAGTTTGCATGCAAAATAAATAAACAATCTACAGCAAAAGAAACAGCAATGTTTGAATGATTCACTATTATACAAACAAAGCAAATTAATATAAAACTATTTGTAAATTCACCAGTGTGAAAGAATGTTTAGCGTTTAAGATCGATATACATAAGATATATAATTTTGATACTTCTCCAAAAACTACAACCCCAAATCAGAAAAAGTCAGGACATTTTGTAAAATGCAATGCATTAAGAATCTGTGATTTGTTAATTCTCTTTAACTTTTATTTAATTGACTAGTAAAAATAAAAGATTTCCAATGTTTTCACTGACCAACTGTATAAAAAAAAAAAAAGTATTTTGTAAATGTAAACAAATTTTGATGGCTACAACACATTTCTAAAATAAGTTGGGACAGTTCTTTAAGTTTAGGTTACTCAGTGTTTTGGCATCATGTAGACAATGTTTGGTGTGAACAGTATGATGGAGGAGTAGTTACAAATTCACAGAATCCACATTCAGACCAAAATATCCGACTTCCTGTTTTTGAGCATGTTAATGATAAACATGCTCTCAAATGATTGAAAAAGAATAATAATAATCTTTAGTAAAACAACAGGGTCTTGTGCCCTCTAGGGTTTGAGCCCTAATAAAACAAACATACAAATGAAGTTACCTGTGCTTTTTTAGACAGGTTTAACAGTGTTACTCGGGTAAGGAATAGCCTAAAAAAGATGTTGTTTTATTAACATGAATGACACAGACAGCTGCAGGGTTATTAGACTGTTGTCACGTTAAGAACTAATTCATGGATCCAGTATATTGACATTATACTTGTTTCTACCTTAAGCTAAATGTTTGTTACTCAGTCATAGTTTATCATATTAATATAAATAATAAGCTCTTCTGATTCTGATTTCCAAGGTGACGATGTGTGCACTTCAGGCAGCTCTAAATACCAGTGCAACACAGCAGATTGCACTTTATTTACCTCCGTCTCACACAACTCTAGTGTATGATATATCAGATATTTATTATGTTGTGATTTAACCGCATTATACTTGTTTCTACCTTAAGCTAAATGTTTGTTACTCAGTCATAGTTTATTGTATTAATATTTTATTTGTTTGTGTAAATTTTATATTTTCTCCAACAGCCCAAGCATACCCATAGTCATATAGAATGCTGCATCAGACAAATTCATAAGGGGAGAAAATGTAAATAATAAATCCGCTGCATAGCAAGAGTTGAGGATGTTGCAGTTTAATTCATTGCATGACTTCCGCCAGTAGTGGCACTCACACAGTGCAAGCAGTGACCCTGTAATACATTCACTAGAAAGACATGCAAATGTGCCTTTAGCATCAGGATCAGGATCAGGATGGGCAACTGGACTCATGAAAGACTTTTGTTTTGGCACAGGCGAAAGCTTTTCTGCAGACTGCTGCTTCACTGTCTCCTCACATGTATGAGCCACATTTTAACTTTGCCACGCTCTCTGATAAGGTATGACTCAACACTGTGTGCTATTCTATCATTGTTTTAATGACAGTATTTTATTATTTTATTTTGAGCTTTCTTTGTGACTTGAAGGTTGGTGATCTTCAGAGTAGTTACATGGCTGCTCAGAAATCAGAGGATGCTTTTCCTGAGCATGTGGACACTCAGCAGATCCTGAAAAACCTCAGACAGCATTTTGCCACTCTATAAGGCCACTTAACTGTAATCACATCACTGATCAGGGATAGAAATGACCTGCAAGGATTGTAGCTATATATAGATATAGTCATATTCTGCCTGACATTGCCTGAATACAATACCCTAACCCTAACCCTAACCCTAACCCTGATGAGGCAATATCACGTAACACAGCTCCAGTCTGCTCCGACACACCTGCTCAGAAGATTCTAGCAGCCACTCCTGAAGACCTTGATTAACTAGTTCAGGTGTATTTACTTACGGTTGGAGCTAAACTCTGCAGGAAGTTCTAATCCTGATCCAACACACCCATCTGTAATCATCAAGTGCTCCTGAAGATCTTGGCTGGCTCAGTAGTTTGATCAGGGGCCTGTCCTTCTTACGCTGGATTTTATTGCTGGTGATTTGACATGATCCAGGATTGTTAAGTTCTTTGAAGCTCTTCCTAGAGTTGCTGTGATAGCAACAGAACTCAGCTCAAACCTGCTCTGGATCAGACTTATTTCACATAAACAGGATTCGATTGCATCTGAAAGTCTGTCCCAGCCACTGCTACTTATAATAATTTAAATATTATTTTGAAAATAATTAAAATGTTTTATAATCTATAACAATAGACACCACCTCATTTAGAGATTTATTCGTGAAGGAATAATTATCCCATAATTTTATCGCAGTCATATACACATTAAGTACAGTTTGTCATGCATGAATTTGAGCTTTTATGCGGGTGGCTTTGATGAATCACAGGAGATGCACTTCTCAAATCTCAAAATGCTGTTATGATGCACAATTAATTTAAACGGGTAGGCCTATGTCTTAATGGATCTTATGGATTAAGAAACTTTAATTAATGCTGTCATGTTTAAAAAATCCGCATTAAAATTAAATGAATTGCTAATTACAATACTCTTGATGTAAAAAAAATGCAAAGCTTTACAAATACTAGAAATTGTGAGAAATA